AATGTGTGTAAAAGGGCAAATGTGGCATGTAGTGTAAAAGCGCTTTGTAAGACTAAAAAGGTGCTATACAAATACAGTCCATTTACTATTTACCATCTAACATTCCCACTGATGCAATGACACAAAATGGTAAGGTTTCTGAAACAAAGTGATGTGGGAGATAACCCTGCACCGGTAAAAGCTCCAAAGCGTGTGTTGAGGATATATGCCCCTGAATACATTACATTTGAATTAGGGATGGGACAATATATGTTATTGTTTATAAGGTGAGGTGCCTATTTGTGATGCAAAAAATACATCTGTTTCAAAATGTAAGGATAAGTGATTTCAGTATATTTTAGTGCCATTTTAAAGTATGAAGTATATTTTCATAATTATTTTGATAATATCATACATTGCAATTATTTTGGCCAAGATAATTGTGACATGAAATTTATATATTGTCTCATGCCTTGTTTGTTTTCATAATGGCAGGCATTTTGTAGCCTGGAAACTAAACAAATCTGAACAGATTTCTACCTGACCTGGTGGGTCCAATTAAAAACATTTATATTTAACAGCGGAGCCTCATTGGCTGCATTTCTGTAAATAACAAAGATGGCTGCCACTGATGTGGATCTGTTTCCGTTAAATCTGCTGTCATGTCAGTAATAAACGAACTAGACTGTATATTTTCTCTAAAGAGCAACTGTACTTAAATCTTTTGTTAATAAGAAGGATGTCTCGGCCATACTTCAAATTGGATTTAAAGTTAAATTTACCAACTATGCTACATCATTGCTCTGATTGGTTGAAAGTCCATCCATTTGCATCCAGAGGCATTTTGGTCTGCGCCTGTTGATTACGCCCCTTGGGCATCCATAATAGACAGAGATTCCACACTAATTCCCATTTGAGAACTGGCCTGGTGATAACAGTCTACTCATTTTGGCCCCACCAATTCAAGTGAATTTGCATTTTTAAGACCATTTCAGTTTGTTCTCCAATTTTCAGAATTAGCTGTACTTTTTAACCAGCTTTTATTCAGGCTAGGCAGAAGCAGACATAACAATAACTAGCTAGGGATGTGTGCAATTAGTTAATTAGTTGTTAAAACGTTGCTACCCTCGCTAGTCGGTTAGAGAAATATTAGTTGGTTGAACTATTATAAATATTTTATAAATGTAGGCATTCATTATACAAAACCAGTTAACTGTTGCAGAGATGTTAAACAGACACCAGCCAGTAAAGGGAGCAGCTCTGGCAGACAGTCACAATTCAACCAGCGAGTGGGAAAGACGGTAGCTTGAGTGTGGTATGTCAGTGTTTTGGACAAGATGACATTGTTTGATGAATAACATTTTTACATAGCTGTTAAAATACAAGCATTTTTTTCAGACAATGTTTAGTCTTTTCAAATAAATTGTGGTCAATTTTGACTATTTTCCAATGTGTTTTTTTTAATTTAATAGTCGACTACTCTGAATTTAAATTTCCGCTTAATCAACAGAAAGATTAGTTGCCAGGACCATCCATACAACTAGCATACATGAACCGGAACATAGAAGTCCAAACTGGTAGCAGGAAAAAATAAATCAGTAAAATTCCTCACACAGGGGGGACTTTTTGTTTTTTGTTTTGTTTTTTCTGTTTTACTTGGTGGATGCGTTACTTACATCCAATGTAGTGAGTCCAGGCAGTAGTCTGATGTCATCAGACAGCTGTGTAAGCTGATTGGATGAAAGCAGCAGTTTGGTAAGATCTGTCTGTTCCCACCAGCGATCTGACTCTCCAAAGGACACATCCTGCTGGGCCTCCTCTGGTGTGTCAGTGTTTAGACGATACACCTTCTGAGGGACTGATAGACAAGTTTTAATATGATGATTACACAAATACACACACGTTTACTGTAATTTTACATCAGTTCCAAATATTGGTATGGGTTATCCTGATTACTAATGATTAGTATCTGTATCGATCCCTACTGTCTTCAGCCAGCATAAGGTTCGTCTGTTCAGGGCTACTGTAGACTAAACTGGGATACATGGGGGTTCAACAAGGTAGAGCCATAACCCTAACCCAACATGGAGCATTACTGGCCTGAAAAGGTCAGTAGGTTTGACAAAGGGACGGGCGAACGAATTAAACCTGCTTTTTGACAGGTTTGACTTAAAAAACCCCTCCCCCTCCGCGGGTACCCCCATTCACACCTTGGCTACCCCACCCTCCTCCTCCACAGCCTGTCTCCCCCTTCTTTACCCAGATGACATTAACACCACCCCCCTCATCTGCCCTCTTCCCCCTCAACCCCCCTCCACTCCCTCCCTTTTCTCCATCCCCCCATTCTCTCCATTTGTCCACCCCACAAACCTCTCCCCACTACACCCACTCTCCCACCCCCTTGCACCCCTTCCCTCCTCCACCAATCACCCCGCAGCTCCCTCTCTTGTCCACTCCCAAGAGGACAGGGGAGGGATACTGCTCAGACCTGGGGACTGACACCCCCCGATCACCTCCACAAGCATCCTGGTCATTACGAGAAGCCAGCTCGTGGTGGGAATGGAGCTGGACAGTGTGGAGGCTGTGACTGAGAAGAGGATAAGAGGGAAGCTGAAAGCCATCATGGACAACCCCTGTCATCCTCTCTACACTGAGCTGGAGGCAGCTCAGGAGCACTTTCTATCCACACAGAACTGGGACCAGCCCCGAGCCTCAAAGCGCGTTGGAGCTATTCTGTACCATCAACCATCAAACTCCACAGCTGCCTATATATAAAATACCAAGTACACCTACCACAGCCACCACAGCGACTAAGAGAACTTCGTTTAAAACTCACACCCTACAACGCACAAATCTATTTATATTTAATTTCTACAATGTACAGTTATCGTTTTCAGTCAGCTGCTTCAAAAATATTTGCACACCATTTCTTACTTGCAATTGCATATGTATATCTTAATTTATAGTCCTTATTTTTTTCTATCATATATTGTATATTTATTTTGCTGATATCTTGTTGCTACCGTCTAGTACTCTTCGCCTGTAACGCTTCTCCAGCAGCTCAGTAGAAGAAGAAGAAGATGAACATATAACTTATTGATCCCCGTATAGGGGAAATTGTTTTTTTCACTCTTTTTCTACTACACACACACACCAGCTGACAATCGACACTTACATTGCACATGTAGGAGAGATGGTTGAGTGATGGCTGCCCGCATACAGCGCCTCATGAGCCAGGTTTCGGGGGTATACGTTGCCTTGCTCAAGGCACCTCAGCAGTACACAGGAAGGTGAAACTGGCACCTCTCCAGGCTACCAGTTCACACTGCCATATTTTTGATCTCCATAGTGTGAACGCGAACCCTACGGTTCCCAAGTCTATATCCCTACACACTGAAGCCTACTGGCTGCCACTTTGTGCATTTATTCACTGAAGGTGGGTTGGGAGAAGATGGGTGTAGATGGGAAGGAGATTAATGTGGGATAACCAAATGGAACGGAGCCAAGTGAGAATGGGGGGATGAGAAAAAGGGAGGAGTGGAAGTGGGGTTGAGG